TTCGACCTTTTATTTTAATCACTGTAATCTTGTTTCTGATCGATAAACTGTAAAAGTTATACCATTGGATTCGCCATTCAAAAACAAACCAAGGGTATATCTTACTTTTCGATTTCAGTAGATTTGGTATTTTTGATTTCTCGATAGTATGAGTTCGAAAAGCAGGGTTCTCGACATTTAAGCAGGTTTTTCAGGACGAAAACTATACAGGAAGACTCTCGAGATCGAAAACTTCACAGAGCTATCGTAAGTTTGATGATGTCCATCTAGATGATGTCCATCTAGCTGATCTAGACTCTTCACAGACTCTTCTGTTTATAGATGATGTCCACCTAGCTGATCATTAGTCTGCATAAACTGGGACCAACATTTCGCTTCTTAATCATTTTACTTTTTTTATATTTTCTGTTTGTGGAGGCTGAGGCGCTATCAATGAGGGAGGCTCTCAGCTGGATTTAAGAAGCGGGATGGACTAATATTGATGTGGAATCCGATGCATTTTAGCTTGTTGAGGCGATCAACGAACCGCGTAGCCCATGATTTAGCAAAGGCTGCGAGTCCTTTGTCTGGTTGCTATCAATCATCATTTACCCCAGCGCCGCAAAGGCTCCCATCTACGGTGGGCTGCAAGTTCTTTGTCTGGTTGCTATGTTTGGAATAATACCCCCTCCCCCGATTGTATTTTGTTCTCTTTGAACCATGATATCATTAATCTAAGTTGAGTTGATTTTTGTCAAAAAAAATATTTCCTTTTTGTTTTCACTGTCTCCCCTTTTTGTTGTTGTTACTTTTTTTTTAATGTTTTTTCTCCTTTGTGCATCATCATATTTTTCTAAATCTGTCCACCCATTAATTCTATCAATTATGGTAAAATTTATTTGTGAAAGAATAGGGAAAAATGAAGTGTAAAGAAAAATAATACAATCACGGAAAAGTAAGAAAGAAAATTTAGGTATGCTCTTTATACGAAAAGGGGTTGTTGGAATGGAAAATAGCTGAAAAGGAGAAAAAAAAGAAGAAATTTGAAACAACGTCACAACTCACAAGTCACTATTATGTCAAAAATTAGCAATATGAAGTTTGTTGAAGGCCAACAAAGTTGTTTTAAAAAACAGGGGCAAAGTCAATTTGGACAATGAAATGGAGTGCAAACTCAAATTACCCCTACTTAATATATATACACTACTACAGATTACAAATGATCTAGGCCTCATTAACTTGATATATTTCATGGTAACAGAGTCTTCAATCATCTATGATCGATTAAGACCCATTTTTACATTACCTCATCCTCTTCATCTTCTCCTTCGAACAATCTCATACCCACCGACACCACACCCTAATTGATCTCTCTCGATGCCTCTTCCCAAATCTCAATCAAATCATCCAAGGATAAATGTATACGTAATCACTCATCCTAGAAATCTCATATGATCAATCTTCTCTTTTTTATGACCTCTTAGGCTATGTCAATGGCACAAATGCATGTCCAGACTCCAATAATGCCACCTAAAATTTTTGGACTCGTCAAGATCGCCTAATGTTAAGAAAATGTGTTAAAATTGCAATAAATAGTCAATTTGGGGAAGATTTTTGAGAGGGTCCCTGATGTGTGTTTTCTCGCACTTAAAATAGTTGTAGAAAAGTGGTTGAAAGTACGAGTATCGTCTCCACAAGGACGGACAAAAGGGAAATAAAGATTAACTAAATTCAGCGATTAAACAGAAATAAATAAATTAAAATGTGATGTGCGAGATTGGTTGGTTGAATCAAAATTAAAACTAATGCTAATGAGCGATAAAAATAAAAGATTGGTTTCTTCTCAATTAACGACGAAGGGAACAGGGATTGACTCCGGGGTAACCGGATTTCTGGCAGATCAGGCCTAATTACATGAACTTAATTTAATTGAGCCTAGCTGATCATTACTAAGTTCTTACCGCTCTCGCGGCGTAGAATACAATAATTTAGGGGACCAGGCTGATCTCTCATGCGACAGGATCCTAAATTATTGCCAAGACGAGTGAGCTTACGGCCCCTTAATCGCTACTAATCTCTTAGCGAACGATTAAGTGTGTGTGAATGTGTCCTAGAACAAATTAGATCTCTCTTAATTCATTCTACATGCAATTGTAATTCTAGCTGCAGTCTAGGTTACAAGAGATATCAATTAAATTATTCAAACACAAATTAAACGGCATTCATGCAATTAAACCGACAAGAATCTAGCCATCAATCATGATTAACCCCTTCATCAATCCCAAATCCCTAATTAAACTACTCACAATTCATAATTGAAGAATCAACAGAATTGGGATGAATAGAAATAATTGTCATTAATTAAAAAGATGAACTTACAAATAATCCCAGGGTCTTGGAAGAAAATACCGTAAAAACGGTGTTAAATTCGTCCCTAGGCCTCTCCGTAATGTTCGTAACTCCCAAAAGTGGGTTTGGAGGCCTTATTTATAGAAAACAATGAATTCAGGTCGAATTAGGACAAATCGCGGCCAGGCACGGTGCCAGGCACGGCGTGCCTGCGACCGTGCCTACGGAAGAAGGCCGAATTTCGCGTCCAGGCACGGCGTGCCTAGCTTCCAGGCACGACCGTGCCTGGCCTCCAGTAGCTCGGTTCCTCGAAATATGCCAGGCACGGCGTGCCTAGCTCTATTCTTCACTTTTCCTTCGTTTTCTTGCTCTGAATGCTCCCGAATGCCTACGAGGTCGATCCAAATGCTCTTTCTTCACCAGAATTTCGTCGTGAATCTCCCGGTGGCCTCCAAATCTTCCAAATCTTTCTCGAATGCCTTCAAATCCTTCCCGAATATCTCTCAAGCGCCGATTGCCGGACTCTAACTTCTTCAAATCAACTCCAAATGCAATGAAACTCGATCCAACGCCTGCTAAACACAACTTGAGCCAAAATTGAGACTTGCAACGCCTTAAAGTCAGGACAATCATCAAAATCCGACCCGAACACGCATCAAATGCGTGTCTAAATACGGACTTATCAGACTCCCCCACACTTAAGCTTTTGCTTGTCCTCAAGCAAATCGAACAACAGGACTTACGATAATCACCACACGAAATTTAAAATAGTTAGCATGCACACGTAGTTAAAGGGATATTCACAGGACAAACAATTTAAACCAAGAAAATTCTTCCCTAAGCTACACCTTTGTACTCAAGCTAAACTATTTGACGTAATTATTCACAACATCCTCAAAGTAATGACAGCATTCACAAATAAGCTAGCTACTGATCAGAAGGACTTATGAATGTGATGGTGAATGGATAATAATGATAGTCCCTTTATTTTGAGAAATCGAAATATTCTAACAAAGACTCAATGCATTCAGGAACTTCAGGGCTATTCCTAGGAACAAGGAACTCAGTAGGCCACAAATTAGGAGCAATCATTTAAACCTATGCAAAGAGTAGACATGGTGTACAACTAAGCTAAACCGTCGCGGCACATTTGTGCTTTGACGTATACTTGAAGTACGCGGAGGACTAAAGTTAATTTTTCAATAGCCTCCAAGTTCATTAATTATGGTTTAGTTTTCCTTGTCATGTTGGCACGAGAACGCCATTTCTTTTGAAAGATACCCAAGTCTCATCTTACGCTTTTTGACCGGAGCTCCCATTCTCTTTTTCGAAAAGTAAGAGGTCTAGCTATATTAATTTTTCACCTTTCGGATTCTCACTAGACATTACCCCATTCTAATCTCGGCCTCACCAAGGAAAAATAGCAATTAAAGTTTATTAATTTCAAAGTGAATCCAAACCTACAATGCAATCCTCGAAAGTATCATATTCCTAAAGAGTGACTGTTCTTACCCTACTTGGGGCATAGGAACAGTGCCAAAAATGGCTCCTACACAAAATTCCCTAAACTTAGCAAATTAATCCCTTAATTCCCTAAACATCAAGACTAAGTCAAAAATATTCACAGGTAAGGAACACCGGCCTTTTGGCTATGGAGCTCAATTAATTGGGGCAAACAATAAACGGTCAGGCTCAAAGTGGCTTCTCCTAAAGGAACTTTATTCCATGGGTGACTAATGCCTTCATCCTCTCAACAACTTAGATTATAGTGCAAGCAATTTTAAGCCTAAACACTTTAAGAACGTCATAAAAGCATAGTCAAAACGCTAGCCAGCTCACAAAGACACAGTTTAAAGAAAAATTTTCAAAAATTTTGACACGAATTTCCTATGAATATACAACTAACACATGCACATGCTAACTCTAATTAATCACATGTAACAACTACTGCCCGAATGCCCAATTCACTCCCCCACACTTAAACTTTGGCATCGCCCTCGATGACCAAAAATGCACTATGAAGACTGTATATCGCCCAATCCTAGCCATATATTTTAATTGATCTGCCGGTGTTTCATGCATCATGTAAGGTATGAAGACTGTATATGTCATCCTTAGCTGAGGTTCTAGTGACAACTCTTCATAATTAGAACTTTTACTCACAACCCTTTACTTTATTCAATCATTGGTTAGGATCAAGGGGTTTGTAATTAATTATTCAAAATTCGAACGATTTTTTTGTAATTATTGTGAAATTATTAAAAAAAATGTAACCTTGTTAATTGACAGTTCGTTGTAAACTTAGTGCTCAGTTAGAATCAAGGGGCTTCAATAGATTATTCGGGAATTGAAGACATAAGAAATACTATCTCCCATGGTTATTTTCATTTTTTTCTTTTTCGACCATCTATATGATTTCATTAATGATTAATGATAATGAATATTACTCCGTCCCAAGGTCATTTGCATTTTCTTCTTTTTCATCTGTTCTAAAATAACCTTCAATTTTTATATGATAAAGAATTAATTCATGCTTCATATCATTTGATTTTATTGATATTTCAATCTGTTTTCTTTCGAAAAGAAAGGATGAATAATTTGATTGTGTTTTTTTTTGTGGGGACGAATAGGTGAAAGGATATAGGATGCCTGATTGTATTACTCCGGGCAATCTTGGCGGCGGTGCTGAAAAATATGATTGTGATGCGGGTCTAACGGTGGTCGTTGCTCTCGGGATAGCCATACTATTTCTTGTGATATCTCAAGTCTGCCTTTTATTTATCATGAAAGGTTTTCACTGGAAATGCGCGGATGATGATACTATAAGAAAACCGAAGACTGTCGTGTGCCTCTCCTATTTCACGATGTACGCTTAACGGTTTTTCAAAAACTTTTCCATTACTCTTTCCTACGCCGCTCATTTTATCTTGATTGATGTCGTTACTCATTTGTATCGCTAAAATTGTCACACCTTTCCGCATTTCAGGACCTACACGTCGTATCTGTCTGTATGTATGTCTATCTATCTATCTGTTTGTCCAGTTCACATTTTATCTTGTGACGGTCTATAACTATGGGTAACATACATGGAAAATAGCTCTATATAGGAGTAAATTAAACTAATCTCAAAAAACACAAATAGGACCATGTTGCTTATCTCCTCAAAATACGACTAAAGTATATTTTATCTTCCTACTCTTCCCCTCACAATAACTTAATAGGAAAATAATATTTTAATTCTAATAAAAACTTTAAAATAATAAAAATATTTAATTTATAAAAAAAATCTTAAAAAATATAAAGAAAATAATTAATACGGAGTATATTATAAAAAATAATGAAATAATAAAAATAAATAAAAATAAATTAAAAAAAATCTTAAAAAATAAATAAATAATAGATAAAATACAAAAAAATGAAGGCATTTCCCGCATCCTCAGCCCAACATATATATGACTCATGTGATCGATCGGTGGATCGGTCAGTGCATTTTTTGTTATAGGATGTGCTCTTCTTGCGATGGGAATACCAACAAGTGGGAAATCTGCAGGAAAGTCATGCCCCTCTGTTCCTACTACTGATCCCACAGTGGCTTATGCTCCAAGTTTTCAGGAACCCCATAGTACAAAGGTGTGCACTGCCCTTGCGGCTCCAATCGTTGGAGGTATTGTGGTGTTGTTCCACGCAGTCTCCGGCGCGTTATACTATGTGTATGCAGCTGACTCAGCTAGCTGACTATGCGTCCAAATCACCCTCAGCTCACAGGCTGTTTATATAGGTGAGGTGTCCATTTTAATGGCCTAGCTAGACACCATATTATTACTTTTTTCTTCTTCTTCTTGTTGCATATACGAAGTTTATGAATTATCATATATGAAGTGTATCACTTATACATTTTGCCTTCGACCAATTTAATTCCTTTAACGGTTTATTATTAGGTAGATTCTATGGTAGCCAACACAATTCACTCTTGTTTTGACATCATGATTGTCTCACGTTGCTATTCGATCAATTCGTCCGCCTGCACCCTTTGGGTTATTCAGCTGTGAAATTTGTAGTTCTATACCTATTTTTCTCCCAACTTAATGTTATACGTTCAAGTTACAACGCCTAGACTTAAACCTCAATGTGTGGTTAACGACTTTCGCGGTTCTAAAAGTAGCATGCATTTGAATATTATTTATTTATTTTCCATACTAGGCATACTCTCTCAAAGAACTATACAATGGGCCTGAAAGTAAAAAATTAACAAGACCATCTACTTAATGTCTTAATTCATACCATTGACGCTTCTTTTTTTAATTTACAGAACGATAATTTTGCCTTGTTGGCAAGTTTCACAAATGCCCCACTAGGAATTGCTGAATTATTAGGACCTTTACAAACCTGTTATGATCTCTAATGAGTCAGAGTTTTATGCAACCTGCTTTGAGTTTTCACATTCGCTAATTTGGTCTTAAATTACATATTCATTTTTAATGACTTTTGTATGGAAATAGCGATATGAATATTGACGTGCACTTTGTCGTGGTGTGCACTTCAAATAATTATCAATACAACAATTATACGTAGTATATTGAAGTAAGGTTTGTATCCACAAGGGATACAAACCTTACTTCAATATGTAAGTTTGATTTGAACAAGGGGGATTTAAAGTTTGATTTGATTTAATTAATTAAATATGAAGATGAACGACTTATATGAGTTTAATTAATGGAGATGAGGACTTGGTTTTGCTTTTATCCACTTAATGAGATGTTCATCGATCCCGGTTATATCTTTAACTATCTTCCTCTCGAATACTCAATCGAGGAGTATATCTAATTCATCGAGGGTAGTTATTAATAACGAGACACGTTCATTAATAAAACTTACTACCGAGTCAATATAGAACACGCGCCGTATATTAACACGATAGTAGCAATAAACTTAAGATGAAAACGATTGAAATTAATAACATCAACACAAGCGGTTTATTGGTTTAATCAATATAATTAATTCCTCTTAGATTATTAATCATGAGACGCATGCATTAATAATAATCCAAGTTTACTACCGTGAAATGACCGAACGATTAACAAGCGTATTCGTTGATCGATTCTAGTATTAATTAATATATGAAACAAAACTAGTTGATCCTGTAAGTAATGCTCAAAATATTAATATGAAATATGAATAAGAATTAATTAATATTCAAGGAAGAATATTAAACAAGATAAATCCTACTATAACTAATGTCAAGATGTTAACTAATTGTCATCTTAGCAACACTCCCTAACATTAATATAGAGGAAGAAAATAAATACTACTATAACTAATGTCGAGATGTTAACTAATTGTCATCTTAGCAACACTTGCCAACATTAATATAGAGATAGTATTAAGGGAAAAATTAATATTCAAGAAAGAAGATTAAAGAAAATAACTCACAACTTATAATTCATTAAGCTTCAAAGTAGCAAAACCAAGATGGAAGAGTTTAGCTCCTCATTTGGAGACTAAACATGATAGAAAATATAAAGAAAACACTAATCTAAACTGAGCTAAAGAGTATATGTGAATTAGTGATTTTATTGTGAAGGAAAGGGGTGTATTTATAGGCTTTTGGGAGCTGCAAGGTGTGATACCCGACCAGGTATATAGGATACCCGACTGGGTATCTTAACAAATTGCCCAGAAAGCGAAGTCACTTTTCTGGGCATACCCGATCGGGTAAAGGTATATACCCAATCGGGTATGTGACAAAATCCTTACGAAAATCTGCTCCCACGATCATTTGTTCTCGGATTTGATTTGGACAATCGAATCAAGCCAATACCCGATCGGGTATAGGCAGTACCCGACCGGGTACATGAATATTTTTTCCAAATCGAAATCTTTCTTGCCTCCTTTCACTTTCCTTGATCTTTTAAGGTCTAATCTTGATCCCTTGGATGATCTTTGACCTGATTAGCTCAGAATAATCCTAATCTAAACAAATTACAAATAAAAAATGAAAATAAAGTAGGAAAAATTGAAAATAATAATCCCAACTATTGCAGGTCCGTTGATAATAGTCCCAACTATGGATTATTTTTGTATAATCCCAACTATATGGACCATCCGCCAATAATAGTCTATGACCAGATATTACCTCCTATAAAAAGTGAATTTTAAATAGAAATTAATCGTAAAATTAAAAGTAGGGATTATTTATAGGGATTACTTGTTATATCTCTTCTCATCTACTTCAGAAACTAAGAGAATTTATTTATAGGGACCATTATTGGCGGAAGGTCCCTAAAGGTGGGATTATTCTGAAATAATCGATAGTTGGGATTATTATGGGGGGACCATCAATAGTTGAGATTATTACTATCAATTTTTCCAATAATGTATTACACCAAAAGTGTGTAATTTCCACAACTAGAACAAATAGAATACAAACATACAATTGGAAATTACACGAATATCAAATATCTATATCATTTTTTGTGAATTTTGTCTTGAGATAGTTTATTGTCTTGTGGAGCTTAGAGCTACAATCACGGTTAAGTTTTATTTTTTAGTGTAATGCTTACTGCGTGCAAGTGATCCCCAACTCAATAGATGTTCACTGCAGTTTTGGTGTGTTTGTTTTTAGGCCCCAAGAGCAGCTCCAGTTTAGCATGTGATTCACGTGAAAGAAAGAAAAACTTGTGATATCTTCTTCCACCATCAATTGTGCGGCTATTTCTTCTTCTTTTGCTTTTGCGAGATTAAGCAGAGGAAAGAGGATGTTTGGTCTCCAGCGGCTGAAGGTTGTGCAGGGACGGAAGACGGATGTTTGGTCTCCGACGGCCAAAGGGTCATGGACGAAAAGTAGGGCTAGTGGCTGGAGCAAATCTGGATTCGAGGTCATTTAACCTGTTATGATCTCTAATGAGTCAGAGTTTTATACTTTTATGCAACCTGCTTTGAGTTTTCACATTCGCTAATTTGGTCTTAAACTACATATTCATTTTTAATGACTTTTGTATGGAAATAGCGATATGAATATTGACGTGCACTTTCTCGTGGTGTCACACCACGCCCGGCCCGGCCCAGGTGCAACTGGTGCACTTGCACAGGACCTCCAATTCTAAGAGGGCCTCCAATTAGAGGGCCTCCAATTTTTAGTTACATAGTACTATACCTAGGCCCAATATATTTTTTTTATCAATAACATAAGTCAGCGGTCCAACCCGGTGCTATTTGTGAAGCGCGTCTTGGGCCAATCCGTTTAGGGTCTAGAAAAGAGCATAAAAATCCGGTAAAAATATTCAGAGTTGGGAATCAATCCCTAGTTTTCTATGATAATATAACGAAGTACCTGCAAGCAGACCAAGTGGAGCTTTTTGTTGTGTTTTTTCTTTAAGCGTAGTTATACCTTTTGCTATAAATGTTTTGTTAAACTGATTTTGCTAGTTCTTGCTCTCTTTTTAGTTTTTACCAATTAAAATAAAAATGATAACAAATATTATATCTATTACGGATTATTATAAGTACAAATACTAATATATAAGCACATTTTTTTAGTACAAATGCTAAACATCGTTATTGACTTCGTTGCATTTCAAGACCTGTTCATGTTTGAAATACATTTCATAATTTCATGTACATTCTTTTAACCTCTTTATTGATCCATATCACAAGTTTCCTTTCCGAATTCTTTCCTAATATGTGGATAACGTTTGAAACACTCAATAGATTTGCTTTAGTAACAATTCAGAGTGATCTACGTAAGAAAGTTGCATATCAAGACTTTATTGAAGATTTTCTTTCAAATTTTATAAAATGATTGCATTGTTTAAATAAGTGTAGTTTAAGTTCAAAATGTTGAATGAATTTTTGACACTCTTGGTGTTAACTTCATCAAGTAGAATTGCATTATCTAAAATTTGATTTTTATGGTATTATTGGCATTATTTTTTTAAAAATAAATATTAGGGCCTCTAATTTTATTTTGAACAGGGCCTTCAATTTGTCAAGGCCGGGCCTGGTGGTGTGCACTTAAAAAAATTATCAATACAACAATTATACGTAGTATATTGAAGTAAGGTTTGTATCCACAAGGGATACAAACCTTACTTCAATATGTAAGTTTGATTTGAACAAGGGGGATTTAAAGTTTGATTTGATTTAATTAATTAAATATGAAGATGAACGACTTATATGAGTTTAATTAATGGAGATGAGGACTTGGTTTTGCTTTTATCCACTTAATGAGATGTTCATCGATCCCGGTTATATCTTTAACTATCTTCCTCTCGAATACTCAATCGAGGAGTATATCCAATTCATCGAGGGTAGTTATAAATAACGAGACGCGTTCATTAATAAAACTTACTACCGAGTCAATATAGAACACGCGCCGTATATTAACCCGATAGTAGCAATAAACTTAAGATGAAAACGATTGAAATTGATAACATCAACACAAGCGGTTTATTGGTTTAATCAATATAATTAATTCCCTTTAGATTATTAACCACGAGACGCATGCATTAATAATCCAAGTTTACTACCGTGAAACGACCGAACGATTAACAAGCGTATTCGTCGATCGATTCTAGTATTAATTAATATATGAAACAAAACTAGTTGATCCTGTAAGTAATGCTCAAAATATTAATGTGAAATATGAATTGGAATTAATTAATATTCAAGGAAGAATATTAAAGAAGATAAATCCTACTATAACTAATGTCAAGATGTTAACTTATTGTCATCTTAGCAATACTCCCCAACATTAATACACAGGAAGAAAATAAATACTACTATAACTAATGTCGAGATGTTAACTAATTGTCATCTTAGCAACACTCCCCAACACTAATATAGAGATAGTATTAAGGGAAAAATTAATATTCAAGGAAGAAAATTAAAGAAAATAGCTCACAACTTACA